ATAAATTCATCGTGGAGAGCTCAGCGTGTGAGGCCGGTAAATAACAAAGGACAAAGCTAGCTAGCTTCCCGTTAAGCGAATCATACCTACATCAACTCGCTCATCGTGAACCCTCGATAAGATATCGAAGAAGTACCAGACTAGAAAGAAGTACTTTATATTGTTTGTAAGTTTGTGAAACGTTTGATTATAAATCATTATTTGTAATAACTGTTATTGTAAATTGTATTGTTATGTGTATATTAAAATGTATTTGTATTAAAAAAGAGAACTGTGTGTGTATCAATCTTGTTGGCAAATATCATAAACTGATTATATATTGGCTTTTACTTAACTACTAAATCCAAAGTACAATTTAACTACTAAATTCAAATTATCAGTTAACTCAATTTCAGAACATTTGAAATTCTAATACATAACACTAGTCCTACCGATAATATCATTGAAGTATTTACACCAAGATAAATTGGACGAAAAGATTAGACCTATAAAATTAGTATATTTAGATAAATTTACAGTTGTATTATTTAATTGTAGTTTCAAATTCCCAAATTTATTTTCCTAGACTTGTTTATTCTCTTGTGAAAGGCGATGGCTTGTGTTTTGGTAGGATTAAGAGCTACATGCCATTTGTTACACCATTCTGATACGGTACAGTATTAAATGAGACTTGAATTCATGATGTGGCGGTATGTATGTTATTTGATGTACTCCAAATAGCAATTTCATCTGCATATTGAGAGGTTAGTGTATACGTTAAAGGGGTGAAAGGTATGTCATTGACAAATATGTTGTAGAGTATGGGGCTTAGTACGGACCCTTGTGGGACTCTGGCAACTAGTGTGAATAGGTGAGATATTGCTTCATCCATTTTAACTTTGGCAATCTCACAAACAACTTGATAAAATGCATGTATGATCTTAAAAAAGATACCAACATTAAAATTCTAAAAGCTGACAAAGGCAACACTACTGTAATCATGTATAATACATAATACAGTGACAAAATTAACAACATCATTTCAAAAATTAATAAATTTAAACCCGTTCCAAACAACCCAACAAATACACAGGAAAAATAACTAAACAAAACCCTATCACAAATGATGAAAGGCAACTTGATTACTGAAGATCTTTATTTTTATTTAAGGAAAACTGACACACAACTTTATGGTATTCCCAAACCACACAAACAAGACTGCCCCATACGACCTATATCCGCTTATCACTCATTTAACTATAATCTTGATAAATACATAACCTGGGCCCTCACACCTTACATAACTTCTGCAAGTTCCTTTTTTAAAGATGTCTTTAACTTCAAAAACACATTAAACTAACTAAACCTCAAAGCCTTAATGGCTAGCTTTGACTTTGTATCACTTTTCACTAAAGTTCCGGTCAAAGAAGCTTGTAATGTTGCACTTGATCTCTACAGTATTGACCCCAATCCATTAATTCACATCCCCAACACACTTTTATACTAATGACCCAATTCATTAATTCATATTCCCAACACACTTTTCTTTTTCCTTTTAGAATTCACAACAACAAAAACTTTCTTCAAACAGATGGTTTAAGCATGGCAACCCTTTTCACTTGTTCTCACCAACATATTTATGATCCAGATCGAAACACAATCCGTACTTTATCCTCCCCTATACTGGTACAGATATGTCGACGACACTTTTGCTGATTTCACTTCTACCAAACACATAAACACTTTCTTTGAACACATAAACTCCATTCACCCTAACATTAAATTCACCATTGAACACGAAAATAACAAACAGTTGTCTTTTCTTAACCTCGACATTATCAGATCCGACACACATTTCAAAACCAAAATCACCGAAAAATCACTCACACAGGCCTCTACATTCCCTAAAATTCCGCCCATGAATCCAAACAAAAAATTAATATGCTAAAAAACCTTATAGACACAGCTTCGAGAC